GAAATTTAACAACAAATATTTACAAAATGTCCTGGCTAGCGACAATGGGGACATGATAGGAGAGAAATCTGGATTAGAACAATTCCAATATCGATATCACACAATGATTATACACAAAATGAAAAAGTAAAGGGCGCTAATATATAATATTGAACCCGCGCTTCACACACATAATAAATAGAAAAATAATAAAATAAATCCAGTTACATTTGACTTTTATTGGATAAAGTCCATCAAAGGACAGAAAGCGTCAATTATATATATATATATATATATATATATATATATATATATATATATATATATATATATTTTTATATTATGAAATGGACAAAGTCCGACAATTATTTTTTTTTATTTTTTATGTTTATATATCTTTTTATAGATACAAATATTTAAGTAAATGGTCTGTTTGATAATAAAAAGTATTAACAACATTTACGGGCTTAACGAAATTTGAATATTTTCTGTCAAAATTTTTCGGAGATTCAGGCCATGAAATGCTTTTTAAATACTGTTTATTATAAACAGAACATTTTACTTTGATATTTGTATCTATTAAAAGAACGTATAAACATAAAAAATTTTTTGGAAATATATATATATATATATATATATATATATATATATATATATATATATATATATATATATACATAAAGAAAATAATCATACATAGAATCAATCATTCGTTTTTATAAATTATTATTACTAAAATTGTATTTTATTATACGAGATAATAATATAAAGATTACATACATAAACAAAAAGCCATCATGTTTCAATACTATGATTGTAATTCCTTTCGATGCTTGAATAAATTAAAATGATTTTAGGAAATTTAAAAACAAAAGGTTACCTTTTCTGAAAAGAGTTCAATGCTACTTTTGATTTTTTACTCCATTTGTTCTTTCTTTTATTTGCATATATATATATATATATATATATATATATATATATATATATATATATATATATGTGTGTGTGTGTGTGTATATATATATATATATATATATATATATTTATATATCTTTTCATTCATATACACGTTTCGTTAAATAATATAGACAAGTGTTGTCTATTTATTTTATGTAAATTTTTTTCGTAACGTCTGATAAGTTTAATAACATTATCGTTGAACGAAAAAGAAATTCATAATATTGATCCATATTTTTTAATACAATCTAAACTTTCGGCTGACATAAGCCATTATCAAAGATGTCAATTACAACATATTAAGCAATATACGGACAAGACAGTGATGATAGTCTGCCATTGTTTACATAGATGATTTCTAAGCAACGATAAACATGTGCATATAAGACGCTAGAAGCGAAAATAGCATCGCATCTCATGACGTCACACACGACCACACGAGAGTGAATTGGAGAAGTGTCAAGCGCCGTGAAACCACAAACTCGCTTTCACGACGCTTGACACTACATTTGAATGAAAACTGTAACATTTTTAGGCATTTAAAACAATATGCCTGCCCGCACACACAATTCCGTAAAATACTTGTCGAAAACACAACTATACTTCGACATGAAAACAATAGACAAAAACTAAAATCTTTGAAGCATTATACATCAAACAGTTGAAACCCAACCTAAACAAAATCAATTATGGCATCTCTACAAATATTCTTAAATGTCTATAATTGATAACAGAAGCCATTGGTTTATACCAACGGCTTCCCATACTTCATACTTCTCCAATTCACTCTCGTGTGGTCGTGTGTGACGTCATGAGATGCGGTGCGATTTTCGCTTCTAACGTCTTATATGCACGTGTTTATCGTTGCTTAGAAATCATCTATGTAAACAATGACAGACTATCATCACTGTCTTGTTCGTATATTGCTTAATATGTTGTAATTGACATCTTATCAGACGTTACGAAAAAAATTTACAAAAAAAAAATAGACAACACTTGTCTATATTATTTAATGAAACGTTATGAACTTATATATATATATATATATATATATATATATATATATATATTCATTTAACACACACACATAAATATATATATATATATATATATATATATATATATATATATATATATATATATATTTACTGCTACCAACAAGCAGAAATATTTCTTCTCCTGATGATGGCCATTTTGGCTGAAACTAGTCAAGGAATCTAAATGAAATAATAACAAAAAAAAAAAAAATAATATTAATCTACAACCCAGTGTGTCTGAAGATTTTAATTTTTAATATTTTTATTGTTCAATATATATATATATATATATATATATATATATATATATATATATATATATATATATATATCAGTTATACCAGCAGGTTGTAATGATTACGCTGTGTCATAAAACACGTAAAAAATAAGAATATGTCCAATGTTTGGAAAAAATGACAAACCAATGAGATATATACATATATTTTAATTTGTTTTTGCTTAAACGTTATTTTAGATGGATACTCATATTGAAGTAAATGCTCTGTTTATTTAATTAAATATGATTTTATTTAATTACATTTACCAGCTTGAATATTCGAGAAATCCTGTCAGAAAAATATGCGTCCCCCGACAGGATTCGAACCTGCATCCTCTATAAGAAACCGTCATTACTTCTGACGTACCTAACCGCTCGGCCACGTAGGACAAACGGTCAAACCAGACCCGAAATCTGCTCTGTTTCTTACCCTAATATAAACAAAGACGTTTTTATTTTATGAAATGGATTAAATCCGACATTGTTTTTCGCTTAAACGTTATTTTTGATGGACAAACTTATTCGGATAAATGCTCTGTTTATTTAATTAATCAGTCGGTTTTAATCCAGTTAAAAAAATAAATAAAAACACTTCCAACTGTGGAATCAGTGTTAATCTTGAATATACAGTTTTGAAATGGTTCAAAGTCGGCGTAAAAATATTCCAGGAGATCTTTTTCAGTTTATTTTGTTTGCTAATAGACTCCATAGGCCTAGACTCTATTGAAAATCCTCTTGAAATAATAATATCAAAATTATAAATTTGTTACACTAAGCAAATCATTTTCTTTTAAAATCCGTATCAAGCAACATTAACGTACAGTTGTCAGCAAGAGGTTTATCCCAAGATATTTAAATTAAAAACTGGAGATGCCGATATCAAACAAGTACGAAAACATAAATATATGGGTAGAGTTTTTTTAACAGAGGACAGAAAATGTAACAGCGAAATATGGGGGCATAGCGAAAGATGCCTTCCAAAAGCTAGACAAAGTATTAAGAAAAGGAAAAAAACTGTTTGACAGAAGGAAAAGAGTACTGAAGTGTTATGAAATCTTATCCCTCCTCTATGGCAGTGAATGCTGGACAATCTTCTCACAGATGAAGAAGAGACTTGAAGCAACAGAGATGTGGTTCTACAGAAGGATGCTGAGAATACCATGGACTGAACATGTGAGTAACGAGAAAGTTTTAGTTAAAATAGAAACAAAAATGTCGCATATTTGAAGTCAGAAAGAGACAGTTGAAATTTCTGGGACACATAATGAGAAAGGAAGGTTTGGAGAAGTTGACACTCACAGGACATAGTGAAAAAGAGCGGGAAATAGTGACATCTTGCGTAAATGGAGGGTAGCACAAGGATTCTGAGGGATGGTGAAAAACAACGTTATTAAGAGCTACAAATGAAAAGAAGCTGTGGAGAAACATAATCGACCATATTCTGAATAGATACGGCACAAAGAAGAAGAAGAAGAAGAAGAAGAATCAAGCGACAGCTGTACTGAGAAGGACGCTGGAGAAAGAAAAATTAATGATTTTCACATCCATTCTTTAAATGAAAAGCCCTTATAAAGCCAACAAAATTGTCAGGTGTTAAAACGGTCATACGATAGGATGATTAAGTGATAAATCTTTAACGTTTGTCACTTTTAATACAAATAATAGCGAAGCATGAGCATTAATAGAGAGAGTGGTAATTGTATATGCAAAAAGCGAGCAAAAAAGAAAGATATCAATTACGACTGAATAAACACAAAGGCTTGTCCTAATTTACATATTTTTCCTTCAACGTTAACTTGCATTAGCACAGAAAAAAATTCATAAAAGCAAAAAAATGAACATTGAACCAGTAATGGGGTAAAGCTCACGGCCATATCACGTTGAAACTCCGGTTGGCGTCAGATCATCGAAGTTAAGCAACGTTGAACCTGTTCAAGAGTTCGATGGGTGACCGCTTTTTGAGGAATCGGACAAAAAAACATATCGATAAACATAAACTATTAAATGGATAAATATCACGGCCATATCACGTTGAAACTGTCGGTTCGTGTTTATCATCGAACCAATAATATAAACGTTGAACCTGTTCAAGAGTTCGATGGGTGACCGCTTGGGAATCGGACAAAGCCAACAATTAAACATAAACTATTAACATATTAAAGCACGGCCATATTTTTATGAAACGAATATAAAAACGGATCATCAACTTTAATATAACGTTGAACCTGTTCAAAGTAAATAAGGGGAATACCGTATACAAATAAAATACAGAAATCAAACAACTAAACGTAAACTATCAAAACAGGATAAAGATCATAAGCTATATCATTTTAATTAATTATCAAAAACTCACTTTCGTTTTTAAGCAACGTCGAACTTGTTCAGGAGTTAGATGGGTGACCATTTGTTGATCGGACAAGCCCAGCAATTAAACATAAATTATTAACAGGATAAAGATAAAACGGCATTTTATCATTCATGAAAAGAAACGTCTGATCATCGAATTTTATTTAAAACGTTTTTTTTATTTAAATGAACGCGTGAAAAATGATGAAACACTATGGAATAGCACTTTAATTCAAGTTAAACATAAAACTAATACCAAGTAAGGATCACGGTCATATCACGTTGGAACACCGGTTCTATATAATCATCGAAGTTAATGTAAAGCCGAGCCTTCTGTAAAATATAGATGGGTAAAAATTAAATGTAAAAAAAACCTATTAAACATAACTCATTAACGGGATTCTCGGCCATATTAACATTGAAACGCCGGTTATCGTCCGATAATCGAAGTTAAACCACATCGAGCCTAGTTAGTAGCTAGATGCATGACCGCTTGGGAATACCGTGTGCTTAAATTTTAAATGCGATGTGCGTAAATGTTGTAATTATATGCAAATCGAAAGGAGAATTCGGAGATTTTTTCAAATTCCAGTCGAGTTTTTAAATTTTGAAATGAAATAATATTAATCGCCCACCAGTATTCATAATCTTTTTCACAAAAAATCAATTTTTGACCAAAATCGGAAATAAAATGTCCATTTCCTGCAAATTCATTGATTTTTGGGGGTTATTTTCACAGAAAGGCCCTTCACAGTCTGAGAAGAATAATCGGTTAAAATAAAAATATTTAAATTTTTAAATTTTTGATAGGTTTAAAAAAAATAAAAAAGTCATAATTTTTATTTGTGGCGGTCGGAAGAAATATTTTTTGAATTTAATCGATTTAATTTAAAATGAAACACCTATCCTGGCTCAACCTGACGAACGTTTATAATGAATTTTAATGTAATGAAACCACAGTATCTTTTATTGATTTCTTTCTTAAAAATAATTCGTCGTCTTTAAGTCCATTCAGTTTTGGTCCGAAATTAGATAATGTCCAATTTACGCCGTGTTGCATTCCAGTCTTATGTTTGTTCGAACAAATTCGAGACGATTTGCTTAGGTTATTTTGTTCCTGCAGTTACCTTCTTTCTAACCTCTTCTAGCTAAAAAAGGCAGGAAAACAAGGTATTTTAAAAACAATTCAGAATTTTTTACTTTCTAGTTATTAATTAAGGCTATGAAAATGATTTTAATGTCTGTCATAAAAAAGAGATAGATTTATACCTTTCCCAATAATAATATAAAAAAAGTAAGTTAAAATGAACTCGATGGGAAAAACTCGGCAATCCAACTTTTTGCCGAGCCGATATCCATTTTTCCACAGTGTCTTATAAAAATCTCCTTAAAAATTTCTTGCCCTTGAAAAAATGAACCAAGATGGTTTTTTTTATTAAATAGAAAATAAAGTAATTGAAAATTTAATCTTTAAAACTTAAAAAAAATCTATTGGCAATACTTTTATAATTTGTGCCACTTTTTTTCATGAACAGATATGCAAAACTTCATTCCTAGGGAATGACCAACTGGTTATAGATTAGATATTCCAATTTAACAATAAAATCTATGGCACTGAAAATGGATTTCTTACTCGAACCCCATCTTAAATTACCAATTTAAATCAATGAATATGTTAACGCTGCCAATTAAAAAAATCGAAAACCATATTCTAATAATAGTTTTTTCATCAATTTTTTATTATTATTATTATTATTATCATCATCATCATATGTTATATTTTGATTTTTAATGATTTTATAACCTACCAAGTCTGTGGAAAGACCCATGACAAAAGTTTTGCGTTGTTTTACATTTCATGATTTGATTTTTAAAATTTACTAAAAATTAAATTACATGGACAAAAATCTTCTTAGTGTGTTATTAATTGAAATTATTAAGACAATTTTTTTTGAATTTCTCTTAAGTTTTCTTCGGTTTCTTTTGGAAATTTCAATGTGTTGTTGTGTTCCTTTTTATCATTCCAAACAAATACTATGACTGGTATTTTCTTGTTTTCAGTTTAATCATTTTTTTTTTTTCCATTTAATTATAGGTTTTAATATTTCTATAATTTTAAAAGGGAATTCCTTGATTGTTGATTTTTACAGTCCTTTTGAAAAAAATTTATTAATTAGAAGGAAAGTTTTTTTTTTTTCTGTTTTTGAATATTATGTTCGAAAGAATTTTTGTTCAATTTTCCTTCTTTAAAGACGGTGTAATCCCATTAAATTTAATGTTTGATTTCTATTTCTGTAAGCGGTTTTGTGATGTTTATTTTTCCATGTTAAAATCTTTTTTAAATAAAAAAAAACGCAAATTGTCCATTGTAAATATTCTTAAATCGTTTAAAATTGATGATTATTATATTCATTTGATTCAAGTTTTTATTTTATTTCATTATTATTATTATTATTATTTTTTATATTTTTTTTTGATTTCTAGTTTTTTTAAACATTTCTTTTTTTGCCCAGAGACCTCATGACTAAAAATGGCATCATGACATTTTCCAAAAATGAAAAAAAAAAAAAAAAAAAAATAAATTTTATAGATTAATTTTAAAGTTCTGTGGGGCTGTTAAAATATGAGAACAATTTTTATATTTCTTTAAAATATTCACTTCCATTCATCCCTTTAATTTTATTGAAATAAATTTTTTCCAATCAATCCGATTTCAACATAATAAAAAATATATATTTTGATGAATATAATATATTTTATATTTGTATATTAAAATTTCTAGTTAAAAAAAAATTGGTTCTGATTTTCAAGATTCGTAATCAATTTCAAATTTTAACCCTGCCCTAAATATGTCCACTGATGGATACGGGGTTTTTTATACACCAGCTTGTTTGTTTAATTTTTCAGGGTATAATTATGAACAGCGGTTTATCTTTCATTTTGTTTTTGTATATATCGGTTTGATATTTGTCGTAATTTATTTATATATATATTTATTTTCATATATATATTGTATTTTTATATTTTATTCTGCATTTTTTTTGGAATTATTTTTTACTTGTTAGCTTATCTTTTTTATAACAGAATAAAGATCTTCGTGTAACTTTCAATTCTTTCACAAATAAAAATCATCAACTTCAAAAAATTCATATAACTTTCCTATTTTAATGTGTGTCTATTTTTTACAGTTCTAAAAACTAATCCTCTGTTCCTTCGGATCAAAGAAAATACATGCAAATGCTCAACATCAGCTTTGTATGATGATGATTTTTTTTTTTGCCGTTCATTCGAATAAATCTTATCCTGAAGTTTTTATTTCCATAATAAGGATGTTAAAGCAAATTGCACCAAAATATACAGCCAAGGTGTTTATGGATTTTATATTATTATTTTTTTTTTTTAGTTCAGAAAGATATTTAAATCAGACGCATTTTCTGTAGTCATTTTTTCATAAAAATAAAACGTACTTTCACATTTTTTATTGTAATTTTTCTAATTCCTAATAAAAAATTCATTAAATCAAATTTGTTGAAGTTCCCTAATCTTTTCGACAAAAGTTTAAATTATTTTTGTGCTTTAAATTTTTTTCCTTCATTTTTGTTAATTTTAAATGCACATTTATCCGAATATTTTTATGTCGTCACTATTTATTTTACATTTCCGTTAATATTTTTGTTCATTGTTCTTTATTATTATTTCTATTTTATTTTAATTCATTTTTATTATTATTATTATTATTATTATTATTATTATTATTATTATTATTATTTTCTTTGATTTCTGGCGTTTACACATTTCTTTCCGGGTCCCGCCCAGGGACCTAAGGTTAGAAATGGCATCATGACAAAAAAACTGACAAAAAAAAAAAAAAAAAATACATAGATAAAGCCCTTCGTAAAGTGTGGGCTGTACTTGTCAGAACAATTTTTGTATCTCCTTGAGGCATGGACTTCCAGGAATCCCTTCAATTAGTCTACTGCAATCTTTTCCAACCAGTCCTAGGGCTCCAACTACAACAGGGATTGTTGATGTTCCCATATGCCACGTTTTAGAGATTTCTATTTCAAGGTCCTTGTATTTTGAGATCTTTTTGAATATCTTCAAAGATACATTGCAGTCAGCAGGGACTGCCATATCAATAAGAAGTCACTTTTTTTGTTTGTGGTCATTAATAACAATATCTCGGCGGTTGGCCTTGATTGTTCTGTCAGTGTGTATCGTGTAGTCCCATAGAATTGTAACAGGTCCCATCTCCGTAACCGGGTTTGGGTGGTGTTCATACCATTTTCTTTCAGTTTCCTTCCCGTAGAAGTTGCAGATTTTCCAGTGCAGATATTGGCCCACTCTGTCATGCCGGGTTTTATATTCAGTGGGTGCCAATGTCGTGCAAACTAACACAAGATGATCAATCGTTTCTGGATATTTATCACATAATCTGCATTTTGGGCTAACACAATATTTAAGTATATGTGCTTGATAATTTCTAGTTAACAAGCATTGGTCCTGTGCAGCAAGGATAAAACCTTCAGTTTCCGCTTTCAACCCTGCACTACGTAGCCACTGATGGCTACGGGTTTTGTCTACATCAGCTTGTTTGGTACGGGCAGAGTATTGGCCATGAAGCGGTTTATCTTGCCATCGTTTCTGTATCTGGTCGGTTGCATTTGTCTTTGCTTTCTTTTTTTTTTTTGCAGTTTCAGCCGGTGTATTGTGCTGTAGTTGCATTTCTACGCCCATTTGAAACTCCATTTTGAATTTGTTGGCTTTTTTTTATTACGGAATAAAGACGCTTACTTACTTTCATGTTCTTTTGACACATACCATCATCCAGTCTTCTGTAGTTTCCAAATATCTTTGGAGGCCAATTGTTGTAGTTTTGTAGGACAGTTCTAGTTGAACTAATCCTCTGCCTCCTTCGGATCTGGGCACATACAGACGATCAACATCAGCTTTTGGATGATGCATGCGGTAGCAAGTGAGAAGCTTTCTCGTTTTGGCATCCATTCGCTTAATTTCAGCTATGGTCCAGTTAAGGACATTAAAGCTGTATTGCACCACAGGGACAACCAATGTGTTTATGGCTGATATTCTGTTTTTTTTAGTTTAGTTCAGTATTTAGTACCAGACGTACACGCCTGTAGTATTCTTTTCTTAAAATTTCCTTCATTTGGGGGTGTTGTATGCCATCTCCTTCGATAAATTCCTAGGTACTTATAAAATTCATCATGCTCCATTCCCTAATCTTTGTGACAAAATCTAAATCTATTAAAGGTGTTTTCTGTAATTCTACCTTTTTTGAATGTTACTTTTGCACATTTATCTAATCCAAAATCCATACCTATGTCGTCACTGAAAAATTTTTTACAATATTGAGGAGGCCTTTTCAACTCATTGTCGTCTTTGGCAAAGAGTTTGAGATCATCCATGTATTTTAGGTGATTGAATATTTTCTTATTTATTTTGAAACCATAGCTACTGTTGTTCAATTCATTATTAAATTATAATTTTAT